TTGCCAGATGCCCTTCAAATTTGTCTAAAGGCTGTCTCTTATACACATCTAGATGTGTATAAGAGACAGATTGAAACGATTGCGTACGTTGACATAGAAACATACACTTTATTCACGGCGAATACTTCACACATGCCTGTGTGCCTCCTTAGACATAATAGATGGAAAATACAGAACACTGTGAAATTAAAACATTGGTGGAATTACACGCAAGAGGTGGCGGGTTGATGGTTATGTTAAATTGGCGTACAGTATTCCGTATTTTGCATTTGCTTTCAGATGGGGATTTGTGATCCATGGTGGTGTTGATGGTTTTAGTCGGTTGCCAGTGTTTCTCAAATGTGCAACAAATAACAAGGCGTCAACAGTTTTGGAGGCATTTTATGATGCAGTCGAACGTTATGGTCTCCCCCTTCGTTTGCGTTCGGATGCTGGTGGAGAGAATGTTAAAGTATGGCAGTACATGAATGAACACAGAGGTATATCAGTGTGATCATGTGTTTTTTTTTTCTTTTCTTTTTCTATTTTTTTAAATCGTCAAATACAGTATTATTCAAATGATTCCCAATGTCACTAACTCTAACATTTATATATCCTGGTTTTCGTTAATGTCTCAGGTGAGAGAAGTGCAATAATAGGCAAGAGCACTCACAATCAAAGGATCGAAAGGCTTTGGCGAGACGTTTTTGAGGGATGTTTGCACCATTTTTACCAACTATTCCATTACCTAGAGGACGATGGTAAATTAGACCCTTTACAGGAGGTACATTTGTTTGCCCTTCAGTATGTGTATACATCCCGGATCAACCAGTCGCTCGAAGAATGGTCATCGGCATGGGCTGGTCATCGTCTTCGTACCGCTGGGAAAACACCGTCCCAGTTGTGGTATGATGGCCAAGTGGAGAACCCAGTTGGTATACCAGAGGTTTGTTCAATGTTATTTCAGGAACTCTGAGCTTCGTTCTCAATTCGTTCCATCCGGCTCCTTGTGTTTCAGCTGTAGGGCTGAAATAGGACTACTGTACACTTTACGTCTTTCCGATCTCATAATGGGTCCTGTAGGCAGTACTCTGCGTATTGTGAATCTTGTGAAAATTTTACACATTTTTCAAACGTAGAAAATTATACAGGTACAGCAGTAGGCATGTATATTGTACTAAAAGTGGCCCCGCAAAAATGGCCGCTGAAAAAAAGGCCCCATAAAAATTGGCCCCAGATGGCAGGTAGGTACACCTACTGTACTTTATTATGGAGGAACATAGTCACACCTACTGCACATAAGGTAGGGATATAATTTTTGGGTTTTTCTATTTTTTTAAAATAAAAAACCTCATTTGACATTTTACCGCAGCCTCAATTTGTTCTTAATTTTTAATCAATTTCAGCCTCATTGTTCTTATAAAGTGTGTTTTTATTTCTTTTTTAAAGTGTAACTTATTCATCTCCAGAAAATCAAAATGACCGTATTCACACATACACATTCCCTAAATACAAAAGTGAAATCTCTTGAAGGATTTAAAAGCAGTTGTGAGAAAAAAGGTAGGCCTATAGGTCTTCCAATTAAAGATCACTTTTGTGTGACCAGAGTCACTTTCATGGCCTTCAACAGATTTGATCTGACTAATAGTGTAGGAGTAGTTTAGTCTCATTGTTATTGTTATTATGATTATTTTTATTTTATTTTATTGTTACTATTTTATTGTTATTTGCTTTTTCTCAGTTGGCCTATATTATTTCTCTGTAAAGCGCATTGGGGCAATGTGCAATATGCGCTATATAAATACAACATTATTATTATTATTATTATTATTAATAGATAAATGGCATTCTTATACTGAAAATTTTAGTTCAACTTTAATTCATTTATTTTATTTTTTGTTTCTCATTTTATTTAATTTACTTCGGACAAATTTAGGGGGGTGTGGCGCCGGCTGGGCCTAACTGTATCGCCAATGATTTGGGACCACAGTGGAATTTAATTGGAGGTGGTCTATAATTGCCTATCTTTAATTAAAGGGCGACCGTACATGCGTTTTAACATAGGCCTATTAGTAGAATTCAACTCGATTAAATAATACTTTTGGAACTCCTATTCGGGCCTGGAATACTTTCGCGAAATTTTCCGACGACTCATCTTCACCCCGTCGAGTAATTTAATATGGCACCACCGCTGATTCAAAGTGATTTCTTTTATTAGTAATTGTAAAGAGCTGTTTATACTTGCAACGACAGCGGTAACGATAAAAATCTAAAAAGCGCTTATTCGAAAATAATTTGTTGGCGATTTCAATGAGGCACTTATAAAAACATATTATTGCCGTGGTGCTTTCCACGCATGTTTCCATGTTACCTATCACTCGTCGCTTATTGGCTAAAAAATCAGGTTTGATGCAGTGCCTACTCAAGAGCGGCGATTATCCGAGAATTAACGGTATACAATAAAAAATAGTTTGAGCAATCAATTGAAATGGCGATAACATCGACTCGTTACAGGTACTACGAGTTCATCGTTCTTCCATGATTATGACATCAATTGAATTGATTTTACAAAATATTTTTGTACCGTTTACACGATAAATCGTTATCGTATTGTCTAGTGTAAAAACTGTGACTATATAAACAATTGCTTTTTATCGTTGCAAGTATAAAAATTATATATAACGCTAATTTGTCTTGACTTTCACCTTCTATTAGCATGAATTGGACTTGCATCATTCTGGAAGTGATGATGAAGAATACGACAATGAAATATCTCAGGTGACGTGTGTGCAAGAGCCACGAAATCCCCTGGTAGAGGATGCTCGCCAGCAGCTCAGTGAGGAAATAGACCCAATGCGAAGTAGTTCCGAACTTAGTGTTGACGTGTACTTAGATGTTGTTCAGTTTATTATGAACTATCTTTCGTAGAACTTTTTTAATGTACCTTTACTATAGTGTTATGGTACTATATTGTGTTGTGTGATGTGAAAGTGATACTTCCCACGCAGTGACATGCGGTACAGATAATATATGGCTACAGTTTCAATTTATGAATTTATTCATGTTGAACAGATGATACAGTGATGACTTCAGATCAGGCCTATATAAGTCTTGTCTTAAAATTTTAAATTCTGATTCTGTGTCGGCTATGTAATAGTCATATGGGTAGTGTAATTAGGCCAAAAAAAAAAAAAAATATGTTTGTTTGCACTCCCCGCCCACCCCTAACTCACTGAAAAAAAAGGTGGCGAAAAAACAAAAAAAAAAACTTTAAAAAAATTTAGCATTTTTTTACAAATAAAAAAAAAAATTTGACTAAATTTATCTTTATTTTTTGCCAGATGCCCTTCAAATTTGTCTAAAGTTTGTCTGATGTAAGATATTACCATTCTAGGCTTCTGTGGGTTATATTTATTCCATCTGATGAGTATTTAAAAAAAGTAAAAGTAAATAAAAAAACTTTTTCTACCCGCCCCTATTTATCATTTTTTTAAAAAGAAGGGCAAACAAACAATTTATTTTTTTTGGCCTGTACCTACTACTAAACCAGAACTGGCACTGCAGCCCTGTCTTTCTGGATTCTGTATAGCCTTGATTCTGGATATGAATCAAGAGCACTCAGGTAATATTCACAGTACATGGTTGAATCTTAATTGAAATTGTTGTGTCTCAAGTTACTCATGATGTTAATTGTTCTTAAATCGTGTCTCGATCATCATGTATGCACCATTTTTACTTGGATAAGTTTAAACAACCAATACGTTGATGGCATCCTGTAAGCAATTAACTGGAGTATTTTTTTTGCAATATAACAATAAAATTAAATAGGTTTGTTTATATTCATTGTGAAGAGAACATTTTGTGAATAAAACCTATTAAAATTGAACCCTAAAAGTGGAAAAGACAGCCAAACCAGTCATTTGTCGCAAAAATGGATTTTTAGTTATTAATACAGGGTTAAACAGTAAAATGAGAGAATAATTGAAATCAAACATTTCCTGATAAAGTTACAAGCATTTAAACATAGAGCTGTTTAAAGAATGATATTTGAGAAATCAGCCTTTAAAGTTTATGATTTTCGTCATTTCTCATCCAAAGATTAACACTAAATCGTTAAAAATGGTTGTTTTAACATTGAAAATTGGGAAAATAACAGCATAGTATGATGTATATATATAAAGGTTAGTTTAGTGCAATAAAATAGATTTCAAAAATTTTGACATTCCATCATGTTTTGGCCATTATCTCTGAACATGAGTGACTGGTTTGGCTTGTCTTTGTCACAAATACTGCACAATATTGAGGGACCACATAGTAGTATCAGTATTTAAATTTTACCATAAGCCTTTGCCATTAAGGATGGCTTCTTCAAACAAATTTCTGAAATCTACTGGATCCTCCATCCCACGTGGCATGTGCAGTTCTAGAGCACATGTTGATGCTGTGGGATAGGCTATAGCATCCGGATTTGGTGTAAAAAATTCGACATCGATGCTGTCTTCAAATCCCATTGGTGGGATGACATCATCTCCACTGATGAATGCCAGGATGTCATTAAGGGAAGTTTTTGTCTTGCCATCTAAAATGAAGATAACATTTGTTCAATTTTGCATTAATAACAATTCACAGCATTTACTTAAATTACCTCCACCAACAGTGCTGGGCAGAGGCATCTTGAAAAAATGCATGACCTGGCGACAGGTGGAGGGAGGCAACATGAATGTCCTGGAGCCACTCTTTTGGGAAAAGAAAACTGTTGGTTGTGTGCAGGTAACATTTGGTACAGTAGGCCTATTAAAAAAAAATTACCTTCACAGTCCTTGAGAAAAATCTCCCAGCAAAAAATGGTGTCATCCTCCATTAATTTCAAATTAATAATTATTATAACTAGACGAAACTTAAAGATGGGTATGACATCATATTAAATTTACAAATAACTATAAAAAAAAAAAAAGTAACATGTAATAATATAATAATACGTTACTAGGATAAACCATGGAGGAAGAATAATAACCAATAAGCCATATTAGTCTTAAAGTAATTGTGATAAATTAGATTTACTGTATATCTCTTTCTGAAATGTTGTTTTTTTTAACTGTGCAAATTATTTCAATGGAAAGCATAGTGGTAAAAAATGATTAAGTTTAAATTTATAAAAGATTTCTCATATTTAAAAAAGAATCAATATTCAATAAATACAGTACTACTTACATCCACTGGGTCCAAATTTAAGCTGTTTTGTATAGGCCGTATATAAATACGGCCTGTCCTTTATGTTTTGTGGAGTATACTTCCCTCTTATGGTAACCAACTTCCTCTCACTTCCAATACATGTTAGCAACTCAAAACCTCCAGCGTCTTGAAGCTTAGGGAAGTAGGTATATAGTACTTGACAGAACTGCTCCGGACTTATATTGATATCTGGTATAAATACCGTTTTTTCACCTAGCCCGACATCAATTAATAGCTGCTTTTCTTCTGACCTAGGGGTTGTATCAGCATCAGGTTTGGATAAGCAAACCATTTTCCTAGTCCAACTTTGGGTTTTGGGCTTTCCCTTTTTTTTGGGGTATGGACTTTGTTTTGCAGGCATGAACCGGTGAAACACACAAGCTGTAAAACACAAAATAAAGTATTCTGTTAACAATCTCCTCACAGTGTTGATAAAGTACTCCATAATCAGTTCCAACACTGATACATTAATTTTGCTATTTATATTATTGTATAAAAACAACATTTAAAAGTGTTATTGTGGGGTCAGGGCAGTATTTGCAGATGGGATTCTTGAAAGTGATATTAGGAGTTTGAGACTCAGACTGCAGACCATACCATGAAGTAGCACGTAAAAGAGGGAAGAAATAGCAGTTTTTGCACTGCCATGGTTGGGAAATAATTATCAAACCAAACATTATTATTATTATCATTTACCATCATTATAGTTGTTATCATCCTTATAATTTATACCGTAGTCAATAATGAAGTTCCAACAAATTTATTGTGAAATGCTAAAGAGTTATGGCCGGGTTTATGGCAGTACAGTATTGTAATACTGTACTCTTAAAATCTCAATAGTTCATACACTTATTCTCAGCACTTTCAGGCATCACCTTCAGTGGTTTACGCTTACAAGAGAACAGAAAAAAAAATTAAAGTGGAGGATTTTTTACTGGGGAAGTGGTACTGTTTGATAATAAATAAAAGAGAGTGGTACTACCTAAATTTACCTTGGAGTGTATATAATTTCAACAGTGCTTTCAAGTGTAATGGGTCACATTTCCAGTCTTGTGACTTTTAAATATAAATGAATTTCATATTAGCAAATTTTATCCATTACTGAACTTGTGTCCATCATGAAGAGCATTGCACTCTGTTTGCTAGATAAAAGATAAAGACATTGAGAATAAGCTCCAGCCTAGTCCCTGTCTCTTATACACATCTAGATGTGTATAAGAGACAGGTGTTGTTATGGGATGCAGCAATGTAATCAAAGACGGCATAAGCTTGCACGTATTTCCCAAAGACCTAATTGCTTTTAGAAAGTGGGAAAATTTTGTACAGGTAAAGAGAAGTCACTGGAAAGGTAGCCCGACCTTATCAAAATGAATTTATTATATTAACATTTATCTAATTATTTATCTATTTACTTGTTAAATTTATTTTTATGTGTACTTATTTATACTATTTTGGAAAAAAACAATTCTTGCAAAATCTCAAATTTAAGACTCACTGACACTAGGCCTAATAGTAATAGCAATGTGTGAATACTGATTAGGGCCTAAACACATACCAGAACTATTTTATTCTTGTTATATTTCTGTTACTTTATAGCTCTTTAATTATAACTTTTATTATTTTGATTGTTAATCAATTACTTCAATTTTTTATATTAAAACAGGCAAGGGCCCCCCTAGCCTAGGCCTACTACTACTACCTAGGCCTAGCGAATTTGTATTACTTTTATTTATTTATTTATATTTATTTATTTAGTAGGGCCTTTAGGCTTTACATTATTTTATTTTTATAAATTGGGAAGCCTGCAAATATTTAATGTGCATCCATTAGACCCTCCTAGCCTATGATATTATTTAGCCTGACTACCCTCCTAGACTAGGAGGAATCTAGATCAAAATTATCCCCTCCCCCCGCCACACACACTGCTTCATATCTAATTTAGTAATAGAAAAGACAATGATATTAATATATAGGATAGGCCTAGGGCCAAGCCTAGGCCTAGCTAGGCTTAGGCATCAATTCATAGGCATGCATACTACTCTAGCTACTATGCCTAGGGCCAGGTACTTAGGCATAGGGCTAGGGCCTAGCTAGGCATAAAAGTTTACCTTTTCTCTTTCAAAATTCGGAAGAAGGTGAATCAAGTCTACTTTTTTCAAGGCATCTTCAATACTAATAGACTTGGCCATTGTCTTTCCTCGCTTGTCAACGATCGACGGCACGAAGAAAGAGAGAAGGATCGAGCGCGCAAGTTCCACTAGGCTCGCTCCCACAGCCGTTGATTTTTCCACTTGACCCGATGTCAAAGGTCATGAAAGCACCGAATGATAAAAGAACCGTACGTAATGATGAAAGGGCTGAAAGCTAAAACTAAAAAGCACCAAATGATAAAAGATCCGTAAGTGCGGCAAAAGCACCGAACGTAATGATAAAAGCACCGAACGTAATGTTTCAAAGCACCGAATGTAATGTTAATAAAAGCACCGAAATAATGTAAAAAGCACCGAACGTAATGTAAAAAGCACCGAACGTAATGTAAAAAGCACCGAACGTCATGTAAAAGCACCGAACGTAATGTTCAAAGCACCGAACGTAATGTAAAAAGCACCGAACGAAATGTAAAAAGCACCGAACCTAATGTAAATAGCACCGAAGTAATGTAAAAAGCACCGAACGTAATGTAAAAGCACCGAACGTAATGTTAAAAGGGCCGAATAGCAAATGCGCCGAACGGAAAAGAGCCACCAAAGGCAGTAACGGCGTTCCATAGACTGATGACGCATAGCGGGTTTTTCAAACTGATGACGCATAGCGGGGTTTTCTAATGACAGGCGCAGACACGTTGAAGTCTGACGAATAATGACGTATAATGAAAAGATCGAAACATGCGCTGGTACGTATGACGTCTGATTGAAATCAACCAATGAGCGAAGCGCATTAACATTACGTCTGATGAGTAGCGAAAAGCCGATAGATATGCGGGCACATGATGTCATGAATTAAATTAACCAATGAACGATATGTTAAACTTTTTAAATGCGGGGGTATTTTTAATCATAGTAGAAAAAATGATATATAAAATAATGGTAGTAAATAAAAATTATAATAGTGAAAATATATTCCGTATTACACCTAGAATGGAAAATATATTCCGAGCTAAAAAGGGGTTAACCTTTAAATTGATCAGTGGTATGATATGTTACAACAAGCCAATAAAGTTGAATAGATGTTACAAGAACTTAATGGTGAAGATGTTTACGGTAATGGTACAGATAAAAAATGATGATGGCGGAAAGAGAAAACAAGCTGAGGAAATAAAGATGATGGTACAACGCGCAGAGGAGGAAAAAAGGGCGATGATGCAAAATACCGACAACATTACAATTGGTTAAATCAATATGAAGAAGTTTATTTGGAATAATAGCGCGATGAAGATAAAGATATAGGTCTAGGCCTAGATGAGGATAATCTGTTTACCCAGCAAACCTAAGAGAATGATGAACCCTTTAATTTAGAAGACAGAATAATGCTAAAATTAATGATTACGCTGATAGAGGCTGTTAGGGTTAGAAAATTATTAGATTATTTGATATTTTACCAGTTTTGAATAGAATTTTTAAACATATTTTAAATAACGTATGTGAAAATATTAACGATAACGACTTATTAAGATTCGTTATTCAATTTAATGATTTAAATGTATCTATTACAATACCATTTAGTCGCAGAGATCACTAAACACCTGAAATTATTTTTTAATGCGATATTAAAGGTATTGCAATCTCTTGTTCATATTTTTGTAAATGAAACCAAAAAAAAAAAAAAAAAAAAAAAAAGAGAACCTTCTTCATTATAATGCATTAAAGCGTTTTAGATAGCTATTCCTAATAATCAACTCATTGTTATTTCTAAAGATAATTTAAATAATGTTATATTTAGTGGGGACTTCAAACAGAAACAAATTTATTTATCATCATAATAATCATTGATTTGATTTCTAGTATTACGGCGTTTTTTAATATTAGGTATTTGTGTAACAAATGTTTTCGGTGTTATAATAATAAGTTTTCTCATAAATGTAAATATGTGTGTAAATTATATAAATCGAGCGAATGTACAGACAATTTTTTAACAGAATGTATAAATTGTAATATACTTTTTAAAAATCAGCAATGCTTTGATAATCATAAAATAGCCTTAAAGCCTAGGCAAACTACAATTTGATAAAAAAAAAAATTAAATCATGTAAAACATGTAGGTCCCTAACCGTATTCTTCGTAAGGGGCACAGATGCGATTATTACTTTTATAGGGTTTGTAGGATAGATGTTTCCTACGATCGTAAATGTTTTATGAAACAGATCGTAGAAAATAAAAAACAAAGAAAAGAAATTTAATAAATAAAAATAATTTAGTAAATCTGTAACAAAATATTTTTTCTTTGATTTCGAGTGTACGCAAGAGACAGGGGAGCACAAACCGTGTTCTTTAGAAAACTTGTGTTGAATGTATGACGTTGATTCCGATGAGTTTGATATCTGCGGTGAAAAAACGCTTACCTTCTATTGTGAATCTGCTTGCCAAGATTTTTGCGACTATGTTTTAAAAAAAAAACCCCTTACAATGAAAACGTAAC